AAATGTTCCATTTTTATTTTGTAATCATCTCGCGACCCAAACTCGGGTTCTCGCCACCCCCCGGGGGGTCGCGACCCCCACTTTGGGAACCCCTGCTCTACAGCACTCACAAACAAGGGAAAACTTGTGCTCTTCTACTATTTGTTGAATTCCTTTGATTTTCCGCTTTTAATACCTCATGGAAGAAAAATGTCACCATTGACTTCTCATTGATCTCATGGATTGGTCTTTTTGACAAATGGAACCCAGTGAATGAGAGTTACCAAAGTCCTGTTCGATGTATACTGTATACTGACAGTTGCAGGAGCCACCATAAGAACAGGCATATTAAGTACCAAGACCAATACAATTCTGCCTGCTTCACAATGTTAAGAATTTAGATTTTCTTTTTTCAAAATGTAGTATAGCCTACTATATATAATTATATTTATATATCTAAAGCCACACAAATATTTTAATTATTACTTATTTTCTCTGATAGCCATTGTAATGCGTAGTTCAATGTAGTGTCAGTTACTACCAGAGGTCGCGTTAACCGAATATTTTCCGTCTGAAAGCAGTCCCTAATTTTGGCAGATTAGAACAAACTTGGAACAGCGTCAAAGGCTTAGGCGGATTTTGTGGGGGGACAGGGGGGGCATTGCCCCCCCTAGTTGCTGAAATATGTTACAGCATTACTATGTCGAAAACTGTTCCAATACAAATATTTCGTATATCAATATTTTAATAAGGTAGGACACTGGTTAATAATATTGTAGCGTGTTCAAGTAACCAAGGGATATAGTAGTTATCAAATAAGTATAAGATGTGCACAGTTATGATAAGTTGTACAGTTATGTAATGCACTGTTGGGGGGAGTGATTAGAACAAACCATATAAGTGTGTGTGTACGGCGGGCATTGGAAAAGTCAAACTCAGTGCGGTGAGCGCTGGCTTTATTGTATCCGTAGCACCCCATGCAATAGTTGGGACTGTGTACTGACGTCAGTAAACTCCGCCTATGGTCAAAGCTTCCCCGCAGCGAGGCTCCGGTGTTATGCCGCGTTATGCATGCCTGCCAAAAAGGAAATGATACCGTTTCCAAACTTAACTTTGCTGTACAAATCATTAAAATGTCTGAGTTTTTGCTTTACGCTGTGCGCGCTCCCGCGAGGTTCAGTGGGCATGCATAAAACGGTGCTAACAGTGCACGAGCGTGCATGTCTCTATGCTGCACCACAATCACCAATAAAGCTTATTGAAAATGGTTAATCATTTTTATTTTATAATGCTTAACAGTTTACTCTTTTAGTCAATAATTTGAACAACTTTTGGGTTGCCATGAAGTAAAAAATAATTTGGGTTTTAATAAACCCACATTATTTAATAGGGTCCACAAATACAGTATATCAACTAATAAATAGCAAATAATGAGAAAGTGATGCCTTCAAATCTGACTTACTTTCCAGATAATCTTTACTTGGTTGCCCTCCATCTGCATCCACACATCAAGAGCTTCTGGAACTGTGGGACAAATATACAATCAGTGACCATAAAATGGAAACATTGTCTGTTATATTGCCATTATAGGATAACATTTTAAACTGTTTTCCTTTTTAAGTTTCCTACCATCACCATAGGTTTGAAAGAGGACTTTCTTGCTCCAGTCACTCCATTTCCAGAAATATTGTGCTGTTCCACATCTTACTGTCACATTATACGTCCAATTTGGTATCAAGCCATTCAAAACTGCACAATTAAGACCAACTCCAAAGTTTTCAATCTGGGAACACAATATTGACAATAATGAGGACGGTAGTGTAGTTCAGAAATGGATTTTACTTTATTTTAAAGCTAATAAAGCCATTTGATAACTAGGTGGTTAGAGGTGTTGGTGTCCGCTACCAAGTAAGTTTGACTTCTGAGCCCTGCTGAACGTCTCAGGCAATGTGCTCTCCTCTATCCCCCCTTCAAATCTGCACCTACAATAAAGACACTCTCTTGCCTAAAAATATATTTAAGAAATGAAAATGCTAATGTATCAGCATCCTTCTTTTATCAACTTACAATGGTAATTTCACCACAGCGCATGTGTACTTGGCAAGTAATATTGAGAATGTTGTACTGTTGCACTGTCCAGTCCCACTGCAGGATGACACTTCTGGCATTCACAGTCACAGCTTTCACTCCATTAGGAGCAAACATATGCACTGAAACAAAAGACAAAGAACTTCAGCTGAATTCAAAGATTAAAAAAAATGTCAGCAATCTAATTTTACAAATTTCACAAATCAATGCTTGTTTTCATAAAAGGCATACCTCTCTTGGATAGGTCTGCAGTGTCTGAAAGCTCAGCCTTCCCAAACTCATTTTGTGCTGTCAATCTCCAGTTTCTCTCACCAACACCTACTTTCTCCACCTTTTGAGAGCATCTGCCCTCAGACGGCATTGGGCATGGCCTGAAAGATGAAAGACAGTTTACCTCACTTGTCTTACATATCCTTTGTGTGGTGTTCATATTTTTGTTACTCAGCCAGTGTTCGTGGGTGGGTCTGGTGGCCCCGCTGTCTTTTTTGGCTTCAATTCAACACAATCAAACTATTTTATGTTAAAATACTCAATAGATGTAGATAGATTCATCATATATCATATACATGGTTAATATTTGCCCTTTTACATTTGTTAGATCACATTAATTAACTTTTCACTAAAGTGCTACTCGTTTTTTTGCCTGCTGACCTCTTTTTTTTGTAACTAGCTGATGCTCAATCTCATCCTCTTCTTCAAAGTCACTGTCGGACTCAGAATTCTCAGAAATTTGATCCTCACATTCTGAAACATCTTCCTGTTCCTCGACATCGGGGTTTTTCAAAGTGTGGGAAGGTGAGCCTCCCCTCGCAATTATTATTGCTATTAATATTATTATTGTTGTTGTTGCTATAATGCAGGGGTATTCAATTGCATTTCAAAGAGGTCCAGTAAGAGAAAATGTAATTAAATGCTCTGTTTTTGCTGTCTAACTTTCTCATTTTTGAGCATGCCATTTGAAATGACTCACTGCTGTTTCTCGTGAACTGTCAACGGGGGGGGGAGCCTCGCTGCGTGGAAACGGGCTGCTGAACGGACCTCGGTCACCTGTCAGCGCAACTTAAATGATGTCGTTTAAAAACATAAAAAATAAAGGGCGGTGCCGGCCATCAGCGAGGTGGGGGAACTCGGTCTCCACAGACAGCCAAAAGTGTGCAAGTGACACTCACGCTGCGCCTCCCCTGAAGCTCTCTGGCGTCGCCCCCAGGGAGGCGCTCCTCACACTTTGAAAACCGCTGCTTTACATCATCATCAAATGGTTCTCTCTCTTCCAAAATCATTTGCAAGGCCCTCTGAACAGAGAATCTTTTGGCCATCTTGATCAGTTGTGATAAGGACCCAAACTGGCGAAGCTTTATTTATTGTGTCCCGCCCCAAATTTGCAGCTTGGATAGAGTGTGAACAAAATTAAGATTGGTTCCCGCAAGACATAATGCGGGAATATGAGAGCAGACAGGTGTCTGTGCTTGAATTTATCAACAATGTTGCAACCGTGTGCTGGAATGGCAGGGGCAGAAACACAAAAGTCTCTCACACACACGTGTCATTTACTGCTACACAGGTGCCACCATCTCATTCTTACACACTCACCATTGGTTATACACATAGATTGGACTGTCCATTATGATTCTGAAAACATGGTGTGCTTCACTAATTCAAGGAGAACACTTTTTGCTCGTAGTTTAAATATCAAATCTTTATCCTCTAATTTGCTTTAATACTCTTTTGTGTGTTTCTCTTACATTTTAAAGAGGCTCTTTTAGGTTTTTTTTCAGGGTTTTCCCTTTCCTTGAGTGTGTAAATGGTCTGCAAAGACTAAAATCCCTGTACACTCTACTTACATTGCCTAGTGCTCCAACACATTGTACGTGATAGGCTAAGGGGCGGGACATCTCTAAGCAGTTGACTAATCTCAACAGAGACGGCCAGCTAACCAATCAGAACAGACTGGGCTCTGGTTTCAGACAGAGGGTGAAAAGAGGTGCTGCAGCACAGGCAGTATGAGACAAATAAAGAGCTTTTTGAACAGTAAAGCATGAAGACATGTCCTAGTACACACCCAGCAGAAAGTACAAACATGAACCTAAAATGAGCAGGATATGTCCTCTTTAATATACCTTCCCAGAAGCTGAGGATCTTTTGGCTTTTTAAAGGGCCGGCTTTTTCCTCCTTCTACTGTCCACTGACATTCAACTGATTCCAAATCTCGGGTTTCACACCGAAGGTCTCTGTAACGAGGTGGGTCTGAGTGGCGATGCCACGGATAGAAACATTTAGACGGTTAGCATTTATTACACAGATATTACACTACTTTTCAGCACCAAGTCATACTTACAGCCAATATAAACACAGGCACCATTCTCCTTGTTTGTTTTTGTTTTACATATTACATTGGTACAGCTGTTTTCTGACACTTGATTCAGATGGACGGTCAGGGCATATGTCTGATTGCTGGTAGTGTTCAGTTGTGCTCCATCATAGCCAGTCAGATACATTGTGCTGAAGGCTTCCCTTGAAGGCAGAATGCAGCAGAAAGTGACTGTACTGCCAACCTTGAACCATTCGTCCTTTGGAAAAACCTCTGGCCCTTCCGAGGTTTGCTTCCCTGCAAAAACATAATAATGTGAAATAAAGCATCTCAAGGACTGTTGCACTATGAAATGTGCAATAATGATAGCTTGAATATTTGAGTATTAACCAGGAATGGTCTGCTCTTTCCAAGGGCTTGTCTGGGACCTGAGCCTGACTGAATGGGAAGCACACTCCAAGGCCAAAGAGGAAGTCCAGTTCCAGTAGTGGGTCGATTCTATCTGGTCGGATGTCACAGAAACTTCATCCTTAAAACCAAACTAGAAGTCAATCCATCAAAAATTGAAATGGATTTATATTGTCCAATATCACTCGTTTACATTTGTCTTGGTTATCTTTACAAGATATCTGGCGTACAACACAACATACAAGAACACATGTTTTTTTAGGTAAAATAACCCAGAAGCTGCATTGTTATGGAAGTCAGCAATGTTGGTGTGATAATAATGATCTTACATAGTGGACTTGTTGGCCTGTTCTGAGAACCACTAGTTGATAGATGAGCACATCCTGTACTGCAGAGCATGAAGGCTGGTCTTCCCATGATAACAGGAGCATCCAACCAGAGTGCTGAAGGGTCACATTCTGAGGGCCACAGTAAAGGAAACCTAAGGAAAATGATCATAGAACATTTAAAGAAGTAAAATAACATTTCCAAAGAAATGAATCCTTTGAATCTGCCTGTTCAGTTTCTGTTGGAATGTGAAGGGTTAAATGCCGTCTCTGCGAGTTATGTGAAGACGGGAGAGCTTGTTGATCCCTCTGTACATTCACAGAAGGCCCGCTATAGTAACTCAATGAGAGAGTAATGTCAAATGACAGTACAATTGACCAATCATATCTTCCCTCTAAATGGGTGGGCTTTATTTTCGCGGACTTTATGACAAGTTCCGCCCGCTGTGAAGTTTATGCAACTGTATAAAGTGGTGCAGTGACGCGTCCTAAAATCCGGAAGTAAGCTGTGCATGGGTTCCCTCGACACAAAAGCATTGGGATTTCTCCATAGGATTTTGGAAAATAGCTTGAAATAAGGTCCCCAGCTAGCGAGGAACGTTCTCACAACTTTTGGCTTAGAACCTATTGGTTCTAATAAGGTTTTAAAGAAACGTTTTAATCTGATGTTCGAAGAACCTTTTTAGGATGTTTATTTTTTCAAATAATGTTCCTATAAGGTTTAAAGTTAACTAAGACATAACGTTTTAACTGCAACATTCAGAGGATGTTTTCAGGATGTTATTGAGGCCTGAGATGACAGAAAGTTTTTTTATAAAACGTTCCTTTAATGTGATACGTTAACAAAGGTGGAACGTTTTGCCTGCAACATTCTAAGGATGTGTTTTGGGCGTTGTTGGGTAACACATTAAAGATATTCTTTATAAAATGTTCCCTCAATGTTACATGATAACAATTGAAGAACATTCTCCAAGAAACATTCTGAAAATATTTTCAGGATGTTATTCTTTTTTTATAAAACGTTCCTGTTATGGCAAATATTAACACGGTCATGGTCAACGTCAGATTTATTTCTAGAGCGCTTTAAAAAACTAACTTGTTGCATTTGTTTGAAAAGGATGTTTTAAAAAAAATCTGATGTCACCATATTTTCCTTTTGAAAAAAACAAACAAGCACGTAATTCATGATAAGCTGTAAGCAGATATTGCATGTTTGCGGTGGCATGTGTGAGTTCCCAGCTATAAATGTTTGTTACCATTCGTTGTTCTAGGAATGTTTTCAGCGGGACGTTTTATTTTGGTTCCCAGAATTTTCTTCTGAAAGGTAGGATAACGTTCTTTAAAAACATTCTTGAAATGTTTGGTGATAACCTTCTTAAGATGTTTTTGATAACCTTCTTAAGATGTTTTTGATAACGTTGTTAGAACATTATGCCCTACTGTTCTTAAAACTTTTTCAGTGGGACGTTTTATTTTGGTTCCCAGAATGTTCTTCTGAAAGGTAGGATAACTTTCTCTAAAAACATTCTTAACATTTTTGGTGATAACTTTCCAAAGATATATGAGCGCATTGAGACAATGAATAGGACGTATAAAAACAAACTTATGCATAACAATATTCACTCACATGCACACTAAGGTATGTAGTCCCACAGTATTCATAATATCATATGTGTAAAATATCAGAAAATAATCACACTTTTTTCTGACTATAAAGGTTGTGTCTCGTATGTAGGTTCTAACTGTTAGATAAGCTATCTGGCCGTGTGTGGTTTGTGAGGGCTGCGTCCGCTGTTTATGCATATTGGATACAAATCGTTATTGCACCCTTTAGATTTGAGACCGACAGAAATATAGAGGAACTGTGGTTACCTACTGTAACCCCAGCTTCTATGAGTAAATGGCGCAGCCCTCTAAGGCTATCGCTATTGGGTAATCCCCCTGCGCACCCGCGCAGCACTGAAACACTTGTAGTCCACGCCCACCCGCAAGGTGGGCCCCGCCCTCGGGCCTCCTTCCGGTATAAATAGGAAGGAGGCCCGGCAATCTGCTCCCTCTTTTCTTCAGCAAACCTCGGCAGTTACTGAAGCACAGAAACATTAAACATCATGAGAAACAACTGCGTCCGAAATTGTCCCTCATGTGGCTTAGGACATATCATGAGCTATGACCAGCACGCAATGTGCGAATCCTGCCTGGGGCCAGAGTACGCGGACGCGGCTCTCAGCCAGCAGGTCGCTTGCTCACATTGTGCCCGTCTCCCATCAGCCGACAGGAAGCGAAGAGCGGACGCTCTCGCTGCTGCGGCC